AAAAGAATAAATGCTTAGAGTACTTCTTGCATTATATATTAAATAGTGATATTTAGAAAGTTTATGGTGGGAAAGCCAATATAGAGTTTTGAAAGGGTGTCTAAGGCAATGACAACTCTGTATTTGGGAGGGATAGAAGACTATCCTTTGAGGTACAGAACAGGTTACCATTTGAATCTTTCTTATGCTCCCTATATGGAAGGAGCTGAAGTAATGGGTTTTGTAGGGGTATGAACATTTCTGTTGGAATACTCAAGAAGAGCTCAAAGAATCAATGTGATTTCAGTTATAGGGGAATGAAAACAATTATGATTTTAAGTGAAAGAGTATGATTGCTCTGAGGCTCTCTAATATGTATCCTTTCTAAACTTTTAGAAGGAATTTTGCCTTATTTTTTCCTAGGATAATACCAGATGATTAAAACAGCAATATTAGCCATCATTGTTTGAGGGCTATGGGCCTGGCACTGTGCTTATAAGCAGGCACTTACATTCACATCAGCTCATTTAAGTATAGAACAGCACTAAGAGGAGGACAGTATCATTCCAATTTCACAGATGAAGCTAGAGTCACTGCACACCTTACTCAAAGTTTCACAGCTAGTGAAGGACAGACCCAAGATTCAGAGCCAAGATCTGAACTAAGCTTTTCTGATTCCAAAGCCTACTGCCAAAGTTAAGCACATTTAAAAGAGATGGTGTTAATCTCAACACTTTCTCATGGAAAGACAGTGAAAAAGTACTTCTGTCGGTGAATTTTAACCAATGTCACTTAGATCTTGATAAATATATCATATTAACCATTATTTGGAAATTTCTCTGGCAAATTTTCTCAAATCTAGACTCCCTTTACATACACAACCCAACTTCTGACCACTTGCTTAAAATGTGCTGTCAGAAAAAATGAATGCTACCATATTTCAACGTCACATATTTACTCATTGCAATCATGTTTGCAATAAAAGCATATGACTAGAAAAAGACTAGGTTTGTGTATTGTAAGTAGCAAACCCTAGTCATGATGTGGCAACATTGTTTGACGACAACTAAATAAATCTTGTTATTAGTGTAGAATTTAGGGCAGGATTTCTAATTCTGAAAGACAGCTACCATTATCAGAATAGCACAGGACTCGAAGTAAAGGAGTGTAACTTTGTTGAGCCCCTACTCTGTATCAGTCACAATTAAAACACCTTATTATTTCATTTTTCTGCAAAGTACATTGCAAGGCAAGGTCATTGAGATGTCACATTTTTCAGGTGAAGAAGCCAAATTTCAGAGAGACTGTGAAATTTCCCATATATAGTGAGTAGTCTAGCTGGGGTTCCAACTCAACCCTCTCTGGTCTCAATGCCTGTACCTGTTCCATGGCATTCCCCCTAACCTCCATGTCAAAAAGGCCTAACTTTTAACATGACTAGAAGTGTATTTGCCAAGTTGTCATTAAGTTCTTTGTGTCTTGTTCTTTTCATCTTAAAATGAGGAAAATACTGTCTACCACTTGGGGATTAAACACATTACACAGATCTGAAACATTTGACACAGTACCTGGAACACTATGGAAACTATGGAAATAAATGATTGATTTAACTTACATAAATTATCTGAAAGAGAAAGGAAGAAAGGAACTTTCCATAGTTTGACATCATTGAGCTCATTTTTTCCCATTCCTGTTGAGAATCAATAGCATAACCATTCAATGTAATGTGAAGGAACAAGGTTAACTAAATTTGCTTTTCTCTTTAAAAACTGGTAACCGATATATGGATAGAGCATACCAGTTGAGTTAACCCACATTTCAGGATCATGGTGAAATGTGTGAAGTATCATGATGGATTGTCCAATTGGCAAAGTAAGCGTGTGCTTAGGGAACCAGCAAATCAAGGACACCTGAGATATGAGAAAAGTTCCAGCTATGATGAATGTTTGCAGAATTTTATAATCTGAAAATCTAAAACGAAGCTGTTAAAATTTAAGCACTCATTTATATTTTGCTTTTGGATTTAGTTTTTGTAAAAAACATTTCAATATGCCAGGAGACTTGGAGAGAAGGCATCTAAAGCTTTCCAGGGCTTAAGGCATTATATAAACAAGGTTCTGGAAAACTATTCAGTTTGTTGATTTGCAGAAAATACTTTAAAGCTACCAAACATTTTAAAATATATATATAGTATCTAATCATCTTTCCCAGAATACAATGCTTCTATCTATCTTCTTACCTGTTCAGAAGGGTTTTCCCTCCTGCTTACCCTATCATAGCAATCTAAATAATAATGTCTCAGTTGACAGACATAGTTGTTTAGCCCATAAATATGCCAGTTTTGATAAATTTATATAAGTAATTAGTAACTAGTTAGAATATTTTATTTCACATGGTCCTAGCTTACCCGGCTTTTATAAGATATGACACATTTAGCCCCAGTGCAAGATCTTTTACAAAATGTTTAGAAAATAAAAATGCCATCATCATACAAGGTTTTGGGAAGAACATTTTATTGCTAAGCATATCCTTGAACGAAAATGCAAATATGAACTAAAAGAGAAAGGAAAAAGAAAAAGCAGTAACTTCACAACATCATAAAATAAATTCCTTAAGAGTCTGCTCATAAAACAACAGGAATATGATAGAAGCTCACATACAGAATGCACATGTTCCCATAAAATTGTCCAAATAGAAACTTACACTAAAAGGAATATAACAAATGTATTTTTACTCAAATAAAAAAAAATGTAAAGAAAGAAAGCAGGAAATCAGTTCACAAGACCTCAAGACTCCAAAAACAGCAATCTTTTACAGACATCGAGATATAATCAACTTCATATAGGTTGGGCCATTTAAGTTATCTAAAATCGTGCTTTGATATCTCTTTATAATCCTGTCATTTTTAATGACAACAAAAAAATCCAAAACTCTTAACACATTGAAATATCAGATAATGAGGAACACCTCTTTCCATACACATTAGTAAAGGCTACCATTGTTTAGATTGCGCTTTTTGCCCCGTGTCTTTAAGGTATTTTTCAAAGTCAAATATTCATGCAACTTACAAAGACCAGCAAGAGTAGATTTCTAAATCTAAACAGCTGATTGATTTTCATCTGTACAAAAGAAATTGTATATATCCTACCCTCCAGAAGACATACTTCATTTTTGTGTGAATATTTGTCTTGCTTTGTCTCTTGCTTTTTGGATAGCTATGGCCACACAACCAGTTTATTGTTTTTCTGTACATTGTTTCCTCTTTTCAAAAAGAAAGACATACAACTGGAATATAAACCAAACGAAATAAACAAATAGAAAGGAAAGAACAGTTCTTAAAGCAGTATGTACATAGGTGGCTAAGGAATTATACCAGCAAAAATGTAGTAAAATATGTAAACAAAATCTGAGAAGATTGTTTATTCTCTTTGACACAGTTAACTGTGACAAAACTAAAACTCACACTTTCTTCACATTTTAAGGTTTACTTTTTGTTGTTTTGTTATTTTCTTTTAAAACAACATTCTCATTCCACTTCAAGACTTTAACAGTTTTCCTGTTTCAGTCATCCCATCAAACATACCATGATAAATATATCTGTATATATATTTATTTATATATATATTATACTATTAAATTCCTTTTTTTGTGTGTCACAGCAGCTTTATTCATTTATTATTTATTTATTTGTTTTTAGAAAAGATGGGTGAAGGGAGATGTGAGCAAATGGAAGGACAGTTATCTGTAAGTGTCAGGCTACAAAATTAAACCACTATGAAAAACATCATGTTGGGGGTGGGGGAAGAACTATGTATTTTGCACTCTGTCATGCCATGTTTGGCTTGTGTGACCTTTTGTTGTTCCATCACACATTGAACTCCCCTATTGTCTGTTTTGATTCTTTAACAGACGATTAGTATTGTCTCATCTTTTTATATTTGCATGCATTTCAATCAGTCGCAGATCCAGCCCACCCCCTCTTCACCTTCCCTAGGAAAGGCTCTGTGTTAGTTTGTGGGGCTTTCTCCTTTACCACAATTTGGCTGGGCTAATGAACAGGAACAATATTGTTAAGTAAAGCCAATAGCTCTAATAAAGCCAGCCCTAACCCCATCTATTCAGGGTTTGGGTGGCAAATTCTGCAATTAGATCCTGAGGGACCAGCTTTTCAAACCAATACTATCATCCATCATGTGATTTTGCTATGTGTTTCAGCAAAGCATCGTATAGGAGACAAACAACAGATTCTAGAAATACCACAACCTGATATGTAGAGTGAACACCATGGTAGCTTTTGAGTTCATATGGCAATAGTCTCTCTTATTTTTGTTTTCTGAGTTTTTTGTTTGTTTTTTCTTCTTATGTCCAGTCATTCTCAAAAAATAAACAAAAACCCAAAAGCAATTTTTTCCCCTCAGATCTTGAAAAGTTACACGTACACTGGCCAAAACCAGATAAGGGTGGGTTTTTTTGTTTGTTTGCTTTTGTTTTTCATTTTTTTTCATTTTTTTTGTTTTTGTTTTTTACATAAACCAAAAAAAAAAAAAAAAAAAAAAAAAAAAAAAAAAAAAAAAGAAAAAAGAAAACATTGTTACAGATTGTTACAGTCAAGCTTCACAAACATCATTACAGACTCACTTGGAGTTATGGAACAAGTAAGCCATGAAGTCTTCTACCTTGGGTGAAAAGTCCTCAAGAGAAGGAAGCTTCCAAGTCCGCGAAAGTGGGGGAGCCATCTGGTTGCTCCAGAGCGCGAAGTGTGTGCTTTATGATACAGCAGGGCAGAAAGAATGTTCTGTCTCCGAGCGATGACTGAATCAAAGCAGCCATGGCTGAACGTTTTAGGTACATCTTTGTGTGTGTCCTTTTAAAAATGGTTTTCCCCACCATGGTCATGGTACACCCCATCTCATAGTTGTAACAGTTCTGACATCTGTGAAACCTCGTTTTCCAAGTATTTATAGATTTCTATAGAAATAATTCTGTGTCATAAATTCACGTAATGATTGGCGGTGTCGTTTTTACACATAATACTCCTTGTCCTTGTTTTTCTGTTTCTTGTGGCCGCTCTTCGAGCTCTGCTGCTTCTCCTTGATGAGCGTGCCGTTGCTCTGGGCCGAGTTGCTGATGTAGTTCCGCGTCTCGTCCACTTGATAGGACCCCTCGTCCCTGTTCCTGTACTTGTACATGGCGTACAGGAGGATCAAGATGCAGAGGGCGGCAGCAGCCACAATGCCGACGACCATCCCTGTTGTACTGCTCGACTCCCGGATCACCTCTGAGGCCCCCGGAACCCGTCTGACTCCCGGCTCCGTGGGGTTTGCTGTGGGCACATTACGGAACATGGGGGAAGTAATTAGTGGGCTCTTCAGTTTGGTGCTGTCTAGCTCATAGGCAGTGGGCAACGGAAGCAAGACTATATCAGGCTGGGGTTTGAGATCACGGTTATTCATTTTGCCAGCTGGCAATTTGGGCACCATCCCAGACGAGGAGGAAGCTGTGAAGCGGATCAGCTCAGGGGACAAAGATGTGGTAGTAGTCCTACTAGTTTCGGAGACTTTGTTAGGTCTAAAGTCCTTGGATTCCCACTTGGGCGCATGTGCTTTGTAGCCACCTTCGAAGATTGAAGTGGAAAGACTCTTATCTGTTACCAAGGAGAAGGTGGTGTAAAAATCTTCATCATCAGTAGGGGGCAGGTTAGAGTCAAAGGTTTCCCCTGAGCCATACCCAGATATCACCAAGCCATCATCATCACAACCATCGCTGCCTTGGTCCGACAAGCAAGGTAACCCCGCCTCAGAGGTCATGGACAGGGAATCTTTGGTGGTCTCAATAATGGTGAGGAGGGGGCGAAAGGTAGGGGGGAGTGTAATGGAAGGTGCACGAGTAGCAATAGGAGGGGTAGCTAAAGGGTCTTCTACAAGAAGAGGGATAACTAATTCACCTCCTGGGATTGAAAAGAAAAAGAAAAACAGAATTAGTATATTTGTAGATACGATCCATAGTCATTCTCAGTGACTGTTTTTGATTGATTAGGTATCACAGATTATCATAGAATGACCTATGTCCACACATGGATCCTTTCTTATTGTAGGCTAACCATTCTAAGCTGATTTAGAGCCCATTATATGCCTCTTGCCACCGAAGTCTGAAATTCTTAGGTTTTTAAGATACTCTCAAGTAATTATTTAGATAGAATTCAAATACGCTGATTCCAGGATCTGCTTACAGGCTAATGGCATTCAATCATTCTATTGCAAAAACTGACAGGCTAGCAAAACTGTGTGTGTGTGTGTGTGTGTGTGTGTGTACGTGCGTACATGCACACGCATGTGACTAATTTATGAACCCTAGCATTTCTTTGTTCTCTTTTTGGGTTTCTATGTATTTGCTCCCATGAGGATGAGTACGACATATTCTCCAGGTCCCAGAGATCAAGATCAAGGAATGTAAAAGACCTTGTCTTTAGTATTTTAAGCTACTACCTTTTATTTAACATTTATCAAATTCAGTGTACATTTACTATATGCTAAGTAAAGGGAACTCATAAGTGGTTAAAATGTTCATCTAACAAACTCATTCTATCTTTTCCAGAAATTGCCCTATTAAATGACAACTCACCTTGGTCTCACATTATGTTTATGCATTGCTTTTATGCTATATGCAATATATGCTGAGCTCAACACTAGATTTTTTAAATACCCTGACTAGATACCCATGATTTACTGGAAATTTAGATTCAGAGATGTAGAGATAGCAAAGTGAGTTTTTCAAATCAGTGATTCTTATCCAAAATGGGAAAAATAAATTGGTTTACCCACAGACCCTAGTTATTGCATTTATAAACATGTGGACTAGGTCAGGAAAGACAGTGCAGAATAGTTCACTAAATCAGAGTGCCTTCAAATCATGGGGACCACAAATATTCTGTGGTGCTTACTTAATTGTAGGGCCAAGTTTATTACTCATGTATGTAAGCAAGATAATCAAGGTCTTCTGTATCTCTTTACAATGTTATTTTTCAAACAGAGAAAGAATCTCCAGAAGTTACAGTTCATGTCTCCTCATTGAATTTATTTCCAAAATGTATTGTTTTAAAAAAAACACTAGCCGGGAGGGCATGATGTTTCCCTGTTTCAGTTAGACAGTTGAGTTGCTAATATGATATTATTGTTGACGGCTTCTTTCTGAGCTGGGTCATTAAGCTCTCAGCCAGGTACAATGTTCTTGTCTGTTCTGCCCTCCATAGCAACTGCCCTGATGGGATGGTTGGTGTGAACGCCTGTTATCAGATGTGACTTTTGCTGAGGTACCCCTTATTGGTGACAAAGCCAGACATGTGATAATATCACAAGTTCTAAGTGCACAAGTCTTTAGTTTACATGGTCTTCCCAGGTTCTTCCTATAAAGATGGACTCACAAATAAGAACTCTCCTGCTTAGCTTTCCATCCATGTGTCTTTAAACATTTCCCTGTGCCTCAGTTAGAACTGCTGCATGTAAACTGTCCAGATTTCAGGTGTGCTAAAAAGAAGGGCCTTCTGAGAGGAAAGCTATTGCATACCTTCAAAGCACCCGAGAAGAACCATTTGTACCCATTTCAGAAGCTTTACTTCCTCCATATTTAGCCAATAGCATTGTGTTATACAGAGAGAAACTGAGGTGGGGAGGGTGGCAATAATGTACATGATGTGTATTATTTGGAAGGGATAATCATCTCTGTCCTACCTGATGATGTTACCATACGTAGCAAAATAAAACAACCTTTCTGAGAATTTCAGGATGATGTTTTGGGTTATGCTCTAACCCCAAACTTCTCTTCCAGTGCTTGGTGTTTCAAACTATTGAGTAAAATGATCTTTGCAGATTCGTCATCAGACTTGCTTTACTGGACCAACATGCCTTTTTTTTTTTTTTTTTTTTTTTTTTTTTTTTTTTTTTTTACATTGTGAATATATATAATTCATATATCTTGCAACTGATTTAATGCATAATTTACAACTTTTTCTAGGTTTTATAAATGGGATTTGGAGCACAGTTCCCTAAAGGTAAGCCAGTACTAAAACTAACCCTGAGTTTCTCTCCTTATTCTTCTAGTAGGGTGGGGGGTGGCAAGTGTTATATTTAAGGTGACCCATGGAAGAAGGCAGTGTGTAAGTAGAAAAGAGAAGGCAATGAGAAGAGAGATGAGATGGCCCATACAATCTGTTTGAAGGTTCTCTAGAGATTACTCAGGGATGATTTTACTTTCCTTTAGAGAACAAGACAGGATTTTTTACCCATCCCACCTAGAACAAAGGTTTAGCACATGTGCTCTTTCCTGGCACAAATACTGACAGTATTTGTTCCTTAGGGAAATGATAAAAAATCCACTCCACATATATTAAGCAGAGAGGAAACTGGGATAAAGGATCAGGAATAGCCGATGTGTTGAAAGGCAAAAGCCTGGTATGGATAACTTAAATATAAAGGCAAATTGTTAAGTAGTGTGCTGGTGTCCCTTTAAGTGAGATTAAGATTACTGTCTTCATGATTACAGAGTGGCATTCATTTGCAATTTTAGTGTACCATCTGTGACACCCAACTGCAGTCTTAAATTTGAAAAAAAGGGGTGGGGGGGAAGGAGGCAGTCTAAAGCTTCTGCAGTGTCTTTGTTGTAAAAAATCTACAAAATCTACAAATTGCTCACTCTGCAGTTGAATCGCCCCCACTTTCTTTTGCTATTCACTTCTTTTAATCTTTCTCGTGTTAAAAAAAATAACTGAAAACCATCACTTTCATAATGAAGTGGAAGGAGAGTCCTAAAGCTCGCTGATTTATAAAGAGCTTCTAAAAGGTTCATGAGCCCCTAAGTGAAATGATAAGAGCTTATTTCCAAATCAAAAATGTTAGGTATGCTATTTTAGAGTTTAAACAAAAGAATGTGTCCAAATTACTAATCTTCAGTTTTCTTTGCCATTTTGTTATTAATCCTGGCAGCAGTGGTAGAAAATGATAAATGATGCCCCCTGTCAGGGAAATGTGAGCCCCAATTCCAGTGGGAGAATAGTAGAAGCTTTCATAATCCACCCCCTTTCCTGCCCTCTCAAGAAAATCGGAAGAGTGTCTTCAGCTTAAAAGAAAGTCAACTGGGATGTAGGAATTGTTGTTACAAATGGAAATTGGAGTAAAAATAGGTGGAAAATTTTAGAGAATAGTGCAAGGTGCCTGGGACAGGTGTGTGAGGGTGTATAATCTACTTTAATATCAAATTCCATCTTTAAGATTTAGGATGATTATATAGTGTCCTAGGGAATATGAGGGCACACATCCTTTGAGATGAGATGAGGGATGTATTTTTCCATGATTAGATCCTTAACAGAAATAACTTAGACTGTAGGAAGCTATTTAAGATGTTATGTTTGTTTTAATCCAAAGTGATTGTCCTCAGAAATGTTGGAGCAGCTATGTTTTTTTCCCCAATGTCCAAAGACTATGGAGTCAGTGATCTACCAGATGTCTATGCTTATAAAGATTCATATTCATAGAAGCAGCAAGCCTAAAATCATAAGGGGTTACAGGCAGAGGGACAGAAAACCTGTAGAACATCAACACCCTAATTTCCTGTTCCCTCCCCAGAATCTGTCTTTGGCTTGGAATAAGAACTATCTTTATTCCTTAACCTTAGCATTTTAAATCAGGAATATATACCCGTTTTTGACAGGGTTGTGCTTTTCTTTAAACTAGAGAGATCACTAGGGATATAAAAGGTCTATTTTAGCCCTGAAGGCTGCCCTGCTTTTTTGCTTTATGAGTGTATTTATAGATATATAATTCATGTGTCTAGGGCTGATATCCAGCAAAAGGGGCTCTCTGCCATCGAAAAAGACAGTGTATTAAAAATTTAATAGAACTCTTCTGAACAGTGAGAATTTCGCAGGTGATAGTGAATGTAGTGGGTCATCTGAAAAAACAAGGGCAGCATGAAATTTCAATGTGGCTCCAGCCTTTTCCTCTCTGGAGACATTCAAGTCTGAGAAGTCACAAAAATACCAAAACAATGACACTAAAGAGCCAGACTGAGAGAGGACACCATGCTCCAATTCCTTGAATTTATTTTATTTATATTTAGGTTCTTTACCTCATCTCTTATTTGCATGTTTCTAATTCACTACTGAGATATAGTCATGTAATACGGAAAAATCATCCTTTTCCCCCATAAATTAGTTGTTGAATGACATTTACTTAATTACTTGGTGCCAAAGCAGTGTGTACTTGTAGCACATAAAGATCCTGAAGTCTGCAATCATGAAATTCTTCTCCACTTTCAGGAAAAATTGCCATGGACAAACAAGGCAAGTACCAGGGGAGAAGGCTCCAGAAAAACTCAAGGGGCTCAAAGGGGCTTAACTTACATTTTAGTAACATGAGAATCTTGAGGTGGGGCATTTTTCCCCCCAGTTTGTCTGAAATGGATTTGATTCTGAAAGGCTACAGATTCGATTTTTCAACATATGCCCAGGTAAGATGAGACAAAGGCCCTGGATATCATTATACATTGTAAAAATAAGGCATGCCAAGTAGAATTTTTCATTTCCTTATTGATTAAGGGCTTTGTCTCTAGAGCCACTCATACTCAGGTTAACATCAGAGCTCTGTGGTTTAC